GCCCCCACCGCCTGCGGCTGCTGCCCAGAGGTGCCTGCACGCCCAACGTGCCACTGACGTGGGGCTCGAGACAACCCGCACACAGCACGCAGCGACTCGTGCCAGGCCTCGCACGCCAGGCTGCTGTGCAGCTGGGACCAGCAGTCCTCCCCCCGATCCCTTCGATTCACTCCTCATCAACATGAGGAACATATTCCCAAACCGTGCTGAGCAGGGGATTCCTGCCAAAAGCCCAACAGGCACCGACCGAGGGTATTTACACTGTCTCTGGTAGCCAGCAGTTGCTCCTATCCTGTAATTATTTCTGACAACCTCGCATTTAAGGTAGCCACAGATAAACTTAACACTCGAATCATCACAAATCTTTCTGCTTAACACCCTCCCTGCCTTTTCTGGGGCTATTATTCCTGCTACTGCAGGTACTCCAGGATGAAAAGCACAATTATTAATCATCCAGCCCAGGAGGTGATATTTTCTCGTAACACTGGACCTTTATTTTAATCTAGAGGCAGGCAGGGAAGTGGATGGAACAAAGGCCAAATGCTGGAAATTGGCAGCCCTTGGCGTTCCTGTCAGGACCCGCGATCAGCCTCTGAAGTCACAGTTGCTTTTCTGTTCCCGTCGTTGGTGAAAGCACGAGCACAAAATGGTATCTCCAAACCCTGACAACTGAGTCGCTGTGAATATCCAAAACACGACGAAAAGCAGGATTACCCACTAGATGGAGTGCATTCATTGTGGAATTAAATAGTTCCTCCAGAAAAAAGGAAGTTTTCACACTGGCCTCAACCAAAAACACTACAGAAGGCATCAGGCTGTCACTGCACGTGACCTCCTCTCCTCCACGGAAGATGTGGGCAGACAACTGCCTCTAATCAGAAATTAACTTATGCTTAATAGCCATACTAGAAGATTACAAGAACATGGTAGCAAATGCACAACATGGGCAAATTTTCAAGAATCAGCACCAAAAACAAAGAAAGAAAAGCTAATCCTGCAAGAAAATATCTAGGATGCCTCTGGATTCAGAAGCTAACACTTCCTTCATCAACGCTACCTGGAGCATTTGCTTCTCTAAGTAATTAGAGTTAGAAATTCATCAGGGTCATGCTCATCCAGTGCTCGTTGCTAGGCTAGCAAATGTAGCAAGGAAACACGAGCACTGAAATGCAAGCATTCCCTTTTCTGCTGCTTTTATTGCAGGTTTTGCCGGTGATTTCTTTCCATGAAGAACATTGACAAAATGCAAATATGCATTGCAGCTTGCCTCCTGACTCACCCAAACTCAGTGAAATGCCTGCTTGAATTATAATTGGCTCCATAAAATGAATCATCTTATGGGTAAGAGCATACCAGGCACAGATGCAAATCATGCAGACACTCAAACGGACTTACATTTTCTTTTGAAAATGATCTCGTGAAGCACAGGTATCGCGTGACCTTGGATTTAAATAAGCCATCTTTCCAGAGGTCAGCATCCAAGCCATCTGCTGTTTGTGCAACCTGGAAAGAAGAGACAGAGGGAGAGAGGAGACATGTAAGCCAAGATAAAGTTAATATACATGCAGTACTTCTTCCTCAGACCTCTCCTAATTAACGGCAGCCCGAACTCTCACAGCATCTCATTAGTTTCTTCACGAGGTGCAGTGCAAAGAACTTCCAAGAGGAGGTATAAAAAGAGTTTCTAAAAATGCTGTCTCCCAGGAGCCCGCTGATTAAAGATGCTCTGACAAAGGCTATTCTAATAAGGAAGCAGCAACTTTGGCCACAGTCTCCAAACAATAGTTCGGAAAAGTCAGCATATCGAGGCTCTCATTACCACCCTACAGGGAAGGGTGCGTTGGGGCAAGCTGCAAGGAGGAGTCTGTGCAGACAAAGCACAGAAACTGCCCGATCTCAGTACTATTTCCACAGAAAAGCCACCAAGGAATTCTGGCTCCCAGGCCAAAAAGCTGCTTCGGCAGCTGGGGAAAGCCCTGGTCACCCGCAGGCTTCAGCAGCAGTGCCACATGCGAGGCTGCACGCTGCAAACGCATCCCTGCGTCCAGTCGCACCAGCAGCGCGCACCGCGCAGAGGGCAAAGGAAACAGCCCCTGGGCCCTCCACCAAAGAGACAGAGACACGTGCAGGAAGAGAAAGGCAGGAGAAGATCTCTCTTTTGAGCTGATTCAAGGAGTGGGCAGGAGGCAGCACCATGTCCGGGGAAAGGGCTCTGCTCTATCGGCAGCCGTGCACTCGCCCTGCCCGCTGGCAAGAGCCCCTGCCCTAAAAGGTCTGTTGTCAAGTAAGAGAAGAGACAACCAGATGAACCCCAGAAGAAGGGCAGAAGAAATAAGATCAGCCCACCAGACTAACATCCGACCGAGGGCTCCCAACAGGACGCTCCCGCATGGTCTGAAGCTACGCAGCACAGCTGAACTTCTGCCGCATGCCTCTCAGCCGGGGCACGGCGCTCCGCTCAGCTCTTCCAAGGCTAATCTCATGGAATTAAGACCTTGGCCCCAGAGCAGCCTGATAACAAAGAGCTGACATTTGTTGTCACTGTTTGCACCCATGTTTTGTCGAGCAGAGACTGCACAGGAGATGTGTGCTGACAAGACCCTCCAATTATCCGAAGTGCGGGAGAGAAGCGCGTGTTTATTGTCGGATCAGCAAAGCGCCTGGGCTGCTCTTGGCGTTTCGGCGGGCAAGCCCCTGCTCAGCTCAAGCCCTTGTACGACACACACAGCTCTTGTGGTCAGGCTTCTGCAAGGAAATATGCATCATTTTTAAATAGTAAAATTTTAAAACAGGATTTTGGTAGGATTTTGGGGGGTTTTATTTATTATCCCTTGAATTAAACTCTTTCCTAAAGTGCTAGCTTAGGAACATGCAAAATCTATGTGCATCTGCCTCCCCTTTGAGTAAGTCAGACTTGGTGAAGAGATATTCAGAAAACAGACTGCTTCAAAAAACTGTTGACATATAGGGACACTTAGTTTGAACTCCAGCCCTTGTTAGAAACAGTCTGAAGGACTACAACCAGATTTAATCACTTTGGTAATTAATATGGTTCGAGCTCTATGTTTCAGTCTTTCTTGTCTTGGCTGGTTTTGTTTTCTTTGTTCCCACACTAGAGATGCTCAAAACTCAACACGCAGCAATGGACCCAGTCTGCAGCTGTAAAATCGGTGCTCTCCAAGTTGCCATCAATTTAACCTCCTAAAGTTTATTTAACTGTTTATTTAACCTCCTAAAGTTTTAGGTACATTACTTAAAACAATACCAAATAATTTTTGAGGTGGAGGTACATCACTTGAGATGGTATCATCTCCTCTACAACTCACTGCCCAGGGCACAGCTGGATCACGGCTGGGTGAGAGGGGGGA